TTCCCACACTTTCACCCCGTGGGATCCGAGCCAGGTGTGACGGCACGCGTAGGGACCGTCCCGGCCGTGCCAGGTCATGACACCGGACAAAGGTGAAAGAGGAGAAGGCGGTGGAGAGAGTGCGATAGATGCCGCACATGTCTGCTCTCACTATGCTCACCTACATTGATGTGGTGCACAAGGTGGAACTTATCGGAATCGATGCTCGAGCTGTTGCTGAAACTCTGCTGTATGCATAGCTCATCGGTGCCAAAATTGTGTTCACTGGGTGGTTAAAAACTTTATAGAATGAGAACGAGTTAGTTGACGTTCCTCGATGGCAGCTTTTGTAGCTGCATGTCACGCCGAAACTGGAGCTGTATTAGTGGAAAAGGCGAGGCGTGGCCCGGCTTCATTATTCACAGTAAATAATCCCTCTTGCCCAGCAGCTTACTTACTCTTCAGCTCTGAGCTAGCATACAGGCCTCGGTTGCGACACACACACACACAGACAACATTAGTCAGTGGTGATTCATCTTACTTTGTCGGAAGTGCCTTTTGTAGACAAAATGCGTATATCCTGTGAGAGTGCCGTCGGAGCGTTTGTTCTGCGCTGCACTTTTATGCCTGCCGCCAGTCATTTCGGTTTCTGTACTTCCACGGTTTGAGGGTGAATCGGCGGTATTAAGATTATTAAAGGGCTAGCGCCTGGCTGTCTGAGTTAGTACTTCTGGGTGGGTGCGGTATTTGCTGATGATCCAGTTAACGTGCACAGTCGCGAAGGAAAAAGAGGCTATGCCCCAGGGTGTGCAGTTTTGCACGGAAAACTGAAATTGTCTGAAGTTTGGCGCGAACCTTGCCAGTCGACCGGTAATGCGAAAAAGTTTGACTAAGTGACGGCATGCGCTGGACGCAACTGCGATTCACCCCATGCACACGTGAATGCAGTCACTTCGTACTCTCTCTCGCTCCCACACTGAGATCACTTTTCGCACGCGAAACAAATCACACCGCCCCAACGCGCCACCGTTCGTTGGAGGGCGATGGTGATAGAATGGAAAAGTAGATCTGGATGCTACTTTGCACCTGACAAATTTTAATCATCGGGCTAGCCTGGGGTTGCCTTTGCGGCTATATTCTGGCCTTTTGTGAACATTCAATGGAGGATTACCTTACGCTACCTGGAGACAGCCTATATACGGCAGTTTAAACCTGATCTTTGTAAACAACTGGAGTGTGTGGTGAATCTTACTCTGCCGTGGTAACACCGGCTCCCTGTTTACACGTTCCTCTGCCCAAACTTTTTTGCCGTAGACTTTTTTACCCCGTTTTTGCCGCCCATAGCGTTTAACTTTCCTACGTTATTAATTGCGTCTTGGCTATTTCTTTTGACCTTGCTGTTTGTATCGATTTTTCTGTATGAATTCAATTTTGCATTTTATTATTCGTTACTAACTTTATGCAGCGAGGGAACGCAGCTGATGAGCACTCGCGAAATTTATGGTTCCAATAAATTCTGCTGTATACGCAATCTTGAAGTTTGTACCTGGGAAAAGATGCTTCAAATTTATTAGCCTTCATCAGTCAACCATACCCAACCCCAGGTGGTGGGCCGCCCGTGGCTTGAACCTACAGCCTGTTGACTAGGAGTCTAGCCATTCACTCAGGTGCTCGTTATCTTACTGGTTTCAGATCGGAATCTGGTAACATTGGTATAAGAACACTCCGGCATGACAACGAACCCGTGGCTGAAAGGTTTGAGTGCTATACTTTTGATCGATTGGCCGTGCGTTTGAGCTTCGGGTGCCACAACAGGTTTATTGTGGCTGGCTGATGACGGCTGATAAGCCAGAAATGGCCATTGTAGTTGCAAAAGACGACGAGCGAGTTTAGTAACCGGTCGGTGACCGTCCATCCGCCAGTCCGGATGTCTTCTAAGCTGACGGCGTGACTTCTCTTGGTCCCAGTGTTGAGGACGCTGCTCACCTCCTTTCTGAGCCCAGTTCTCCTCTTGTCCGGCACACGCAGCCATGGCCCGCGGTCGTCATGGATTTATGAGCTGCCGGACGCAGTTCTGTCCTCCTGATCATAAATCAGTAGCAGACCTTGAATAAACACTGAAAGTGCGGCGTGGTTGGCGGGAGCAGATATTGCACACGTGCTGCTGACATGCAGAGCCGCACGCCGCCCGCTGACTGCCGAAATACCGCACACACACATGCACACGCGGTTCGACGTGAAGGATGCAATAAATTATAAAGGTTTAGTTCCTTAGCTTGACGCCTGCTGCCTTTTGGGTAGTTCAGACGGGGCCGCTGGTGTGCAATGGCCTGTTCTACGAAGTACGCATGCTGCCATTAATGGACTGATGTGTTCAAACGTGCAACGACCCTCACTATTTTTGATCTGTCTAGGACATCTTGACCAACTTATCAAACCACTTTCTTGATTTTTTAATGCTATCTTCTCTCGAATAGATGCAAATATGCGTGCCTCAGAATTTTGTTATAAAGAAGAGGTAGGCACGTCAAGGTCACACGCCATAACTCCAGGGACGCGCGC